CTTGCAAGCTCTACCCTATAACACGGACTCTCGTCTTAAACCTAGCCCTGTAGACTTCTGACTGATTTTAGGTTCTGTACCTGAGTTTAGGAGCCTCTACCAGTGCTCTATAGTTGTGTCTGTCGGCTACTGTCAACTGTCCAAGTATTTCCAGTGGTTGTCCCTTCAAGCTCGTTGCCAGATATACAGCTTTCTGCTCCTCTGTCCATCCATTCATCTCTGCCAGTAGCTCAAATTGTGCTCTATATGCTTCCCACGGTGCTTTCCCATCGAATTCCTGTGGCTTCCTTCGCACTGGATCACTTCTATTACTGACATTCATATCTGGGATGTGACTTCTAACGGGACTGAATATGTCTGCATTAGGGTTTAGCTGCGGGCTCTGTAAGGGGCTTGCCATTGTCTGGGGCTGATTAAGTCGATGTCCTTGTGTAAAAGACAATAGATCGTCCTTTAACGTATCTAATTCGCTTTTAAATTTACTAATGTTTTCCATTTGTACGTCTTGCCATTGTTGTTGATTTTCCTGTAGTTGCTGCTGACTTTCTTCCTGTTTCCTTTCTTGTTCAAGTTGCCACTGCTGTAATCTCTCTTCTTATTTCTATTCTCGTTCTTCTTCTTTATTTTCTTTTTCCTCCAACAACTGCTGTAATCTCTCTTGTTTATTTTGCTGTTCGAGCTGCCATTGTTGTAGGTTTTCTTGCCACTGCTGTGATCTTTCTTCTTGTTTCTTTTCTCGTTCTTCTTGTTTCTTTTCTTTTTCCCCTAACAACTGCTGTAATCTCTCTTCTTGTTTATTTTGTTGTTCGAGCTGCCACTGTTGCAGGTTTTCTTGCAACTGCTGTTGTCTCTCTTCTTGTTTATTTTCTTTTTCCTCCAACAACTGCTGTAATCTCTCTTGTTTATTTTGGCTGTTCGAGCTGCCATTGTTGTAGGTTTTCTTGCAACTGCTGTTGTCTCTCTTCTTGTTTCTTTTCTCGTTCTTCTTGTTTCTTTTGCTGCTCTTGTATTGCTGCCATCAAGTCTGCTAAGCTTTAGGTTGATTTTCCGCCTCGCGTTTCCATTTTTTTTTCATCCCAATTCTGACACCAATTTGTTACATCTCCGTTTGTTAATTGATTTTCGTAACTTCGTTCCAACGAAACTTTAGCGACACAAGACCTTACTTAATAAAACTGGTTTATTCTTTCCGAATACAACTTTACGATACACTTATTTTCAACAGTCGCGCTATAACAGACTATAGTTCACGTCTCACGAGCTCTACTTCAACAATACGTCTCTCTCTGACTGCAGTTCAATTACTCATTACCTACACACACACTGTTCCCGTCACGTTGTGACCATCTTATATATACCAGACTACCCTATATCTAGTAATCTCCCGACAATTCACGAAAGTTCAAGAGAAGTGGCGTGACACTATTCACGTGACCTCGCTGACGCAACAATATATAAAATCAGTGATACACTTTATAATCCACAAAATTAAAACATATATTTGTTTTTATACTGAAGTTATCAAAGTAAAACAAGCTAAACTGCTGTATTACCTTGGTGTGTGTATGTAATTTAGAAAGGTAAGCGTTTGTCCAGTTAAAAACTTTTTCCAACAGAATCAATCAACAAATTTATATATTAAATTTTCTGAATGTTCATTAAACATCAGTAACCATGACATAAACCATTGTTTCTGTGATGAAACTGAAGTTGTGATCTAAAGAAAATACTTTTATTTTAATTACTTCTATGGTAATGCTTTTGTATTTCCTTGACTCAAGAAAAACCTGGGGAACTCCAGCATGCAAATGAGAAACCTATTAACTGCATTGTTGTTAGTAATGCACAATATAACGACTATTACACATTATTTCTCTCTCAGAAACATGACCCATCATTGAGTCTTACCTCAGGGATGTGGGGTGGCCATGTCGATTTTTTCTGTGTAATTATTTTGTTTTTTTCCTATTTCCTTGGCTTGTGATTGAACATACAACCTCTAAAAGACCAAACAAGTGTTCTGTCAACTGAACTAAAGGGTTAACCCATTAAATATTTCTAGTAGGGCACTTTTTTTTTGTAACTCAAGCTAACAAATGTTTAAAGTCATTTATTTTTTTCTGTTTTGGCTTTTTGCAGAATATTTTTAGAACTGAACTATTGTGAATGAGGTACAGCTGTGTTGTATATAAATTTTAACTATAGTTTATTTAAGCATTAAATATTAATTTTTATTGTAAGATATTGTGAAGTAAAAAACTTTAAAAAATCTGAATGAATTTCTTTATTTGTAGAAAAATTTATATAACTTTATTTTTGTAGTCCCCAGCTGAGAAACATAGAGGAAGGAAATTTCGAAGTGCCAGTCATGATGCCACAGCATTTCTTTCTGTTCCCTCACACCATCAGGAACGTCGAGCTAGTTTTGACATTGCTTGTAGTCCAATCCAAAGAACAATGTATTGTTTTGAAAATGCTAATAAGCCCGATGTGAGTAATTGCAATGTTTTTTCTGAAGTGTCATGATAGAAATAAAGATGTAACACATTTTAGGTGTATTACTATTATACATTCTGCTGCACTTCAATCTTCAGAGATAACACTTTTTCTGTTTTACAGTTTTAATTAAGATAAGCAAACTTCCACAGACATGTTTATAATTAGAACGTCTCATCTCTCATAATTTGATGTATAGGTTTCTCCAGCCTTCACAAATAGAGCAGGCTGCTGTAAGGGTAATTTTGTACTTTGTATTCTTTCCTCAACCAGACATTTCACAAAAATCAAGTAACTTTCAATTTTTTATTTGAATTTAATGATGTGAAGATGCACATTTAGACAAGTTTTTTTTGTGATTTGTAGTAAAATTAATTTTAGTGAAAAATGATGATGTTCATTATTGCTAATTTCAGTCTTCTCCACAGTAGTGTACTAAATGTTCAAATCCGTGTTATAAAGCATGTTGAAAAACAACCAACTCTTTTTTAAGTAAATACTGGTATTTTTTGTTAAGCCAGTAAGAAATGAGCATCACATGGATATTTAGTTCTCTTCAGCCTTCACCATAAGACCATTTATTGTCTTCCAGTCAACTTCATTTCCCCCTTTTGTGGTTCTTTGGTGCTTTCTTTCTTGTTTCTGATCTCAATATATACTTGATTTAGAATATGGTGTGAGTATATGGTTAGTTTTAGCTAGCTAGGTTGCAACAACTACAAGTTCAACAACAAATGCTTTTGAGAATATTTCTATATTTCATTTAACTGAAGTAAAAAAAAAAGGGATTGAGCACAAAGTTTTGCATAAAAGTAAAACACGTTATTTATTCAGTTAAAACATGCATTAAAGGAAAGAATGTCATACTCTTTCCTTCTCTCTGGTGATCTACAGAGATCCCAGACAGAGCCAACTGGGAAAAATCAACCCTATCCATCTTGTTGTTATATTCAAACCAAGACACACAAAATTCTCCAAGAATGTGCTGCTATCTGGTCATTCCCTTTATGAAAAATAGAGAAGAAACTCTATCTGTACCTCTACATCTTCACATGAATGATGTAGCCAAACCATCCTTAGGTCAAATCTAATAACCAACCATGGGAAGACCTAGGATACCAAAGAGTACCCTTTAAAATGTATGACTGGCTCAAAAAAACAAACGTCATCACAATATAAGGCTACTTGCTATAGCTTCTATATTCCAAATGAAAATCATGTTATTGGGACAAACTGTTGTTACTTTTGAGTGGAATTTGGTTTTTCAGATCGTTAGTTCTGCATACATTGATAAATATTTAAACAAAAAAAAATATATATGGCTCTATTAATGTATTTTTTAAAGTAAAAATAAACATTAAATGAGATGTATTACTTTTTTTAAAGAGTTAAAAAAATGATAACCCCATAAAAATATGTTTAAAACTGCTACTATTAATCTACAGTATTAAATCATTTTTCTGAAGTGAGACTATATTATACGGTTTTCATGTTCCAATCCAAAAACATTTATTTAGGACGAACTTGTTTTTGAGTAGTATTTGACTTTATGAAATATTAGCTGTAAGTTTCAATGATTCCAGAAGGGTTTTATCACCTTTTTTGTTATGTTATATTATTCTTGAAAAAAATATTTTATCTTACATGTTTGATTTTCATATATTCCAGTACAAAATTTATTGTTCAAATTTATTAACATCCTCTTTCAACATGTAATAAGCAGAAATTACTTTAATCTACATGTATATTACAGATAGCCACAAACGACAGTGCAAAGATTTTTCTGCCATCACCCATCTCCACACAGAATGAAGGTGCTACTATTGATATGGATGATGAAAGCTCTCTATCAGATATCCCTAAAACCCCAGAAAAAATTAAAAATGAGAACTCTCACTGGAATGCTTGGAACAATCTACCAGATGAAACTACAGATACCGAGATAGAAGACAACTATGATAAGACTGGAATTAATCGTATTCTTCAGCATTGTCCACCTTTAAGACAAGTCAGAACAGAGAAAGAGATGCTGGAAGACCTTGCTGGAGAGTATGTTACTTTTGTCTTTGCTCACCGATATGCTTGTCGGGATCTATCGAAATCAAATGAAAGGAGGAGTTCACAATTTTCAACACATCAGAGTTATAGAAGTACAACTGCTAATCAGTTAAATCAGTCAGGAACTTCAAAGGAAAATAGAATAAAACCTGTTAGCAAATCAGCATCATCGTCTCTTGCAAATATTACAAAGCAAGGTTCTTTTAATGATAACAGTAATAAAGATGGAGATTATGATAATCTAATTAATCTGTGGTATAACTTAGAAACAACCCCTGTAGGAACAAAAAATAGTGGAGAAATTTGTAGCACCATGGATGCACCATTATGGAAACAAAATGCTGTTATTCAGAGAGTTCACTCTTACACTTCAATAACAAAAGTCAAAGTTCCCTCTGCAAGTCTTGATTACTCACATTCATTTCGACAACCATCTACAAAAAATCCTGGCTTACCTCATAAACCCAAAATAATACCTCAAGCTGAAACTCAGAGTAAAGATTATGAAGAGCTTACTTTATTCTCTGTCCCTCCTACTCCTGCTTCAAATTTTAGAGAAAATCTCAACCAAACTGTTCCAGCTATGTGTTTAACACAACGAAATAACTATTTCTCAAATAACTGTAGATCATTCCATAAAAGTTCTCAGTTTGGCTGGAATCACAATGTTGAACTAGAGTCACGCAAGTCAGTTGACTACCAAGATGTTGCAAGAAGTAAAATGAGAGTAAAAACAAATCATAATCAATATGGTGATCATCAATCATTCATCGGTACATCAAAAAGATCCTTTCCTGAAGATTTTATGGATGACTTGAAGCATTACATGGCTTCATCCTCCCACACAAAACATCAGAATTTTAGGTTTCCTGTTAATTCTAGAGATACATTGGCAACCTGTGCTACAACTCCTGCAGCTAGTATAGAGAATATGTCTCTTCATCCCGAACACAGATTATATCGACAGGTAAGCTCTAGATATGCTACTCTTAGAGCTGTGATATCCAGTATTAGCTCCAAGATATCGGTTCTGAAAGTTAATCTTGGTTATTCTATGACTGATCAGTCAGATAATGAATCTATGATGTCACATACCAGTGATTCTCCAAAGTCAGTACAACTTGCAAGTCATTCAGGTACCAGATCTGATCAAGACACTGACCATAAGGTGCCTAAAACCCACATTAGCAATTCTTTTGTGAGAGTTTGTTCTACCACAAAGAAGCAACAACTTGGGAAAGATGTAGAGGCTAGAAAAACTAAATCCATTTTAAATAACGTTATAAGAAGAAAAAATTCTGTTCATATTCAAAAACCAGGGAGTTCAGTCATTGGTGCTCGCATAGCTGGCTTACATGAAGCAGAATACTGCGTACCTAGTTCTCTTTTTGTGTGCCATAAGCTGAGGTCAAGCAAAGAGATAGAAGTACGTCCAGATAGTTTGCTGTCTAATTCTTCAAATATTACTTCATCCAGTGATGGAGATAAATTCTCTGGAGGAAGTGACTTTCATTCAACTCTTGAATCTTTGGTACCATTATCAGGAAATGTTACACACACAGTTGTAAATGACAGGGAAACTTTATTAGACAATAGTGAAGATTCTGAAGACAGCTTTTATGAGAGGTCTTTTGAGGCAATTGAAGGTACCATGTCAGAAGACCTTTTTCGAGACTCTGCTATTTATAGTGATCCTGATAATGCTGATCTCAGTACTGAGGAGTTTTCTCCAATAGCAAAACATGAAGAATTTTTGGCACCATGTGAATTTCAAAAAAATTACAAGACTAAAAACCATATAGAGGATAACAACAAGGATTTATATTGTTTAGATAAACTGACCTGTGGGAATAATATTCAGAATTGTGAAAAACTATATTGTAAAACAAATCTTGATCATCCTGAGCAAACAATAAAGGACACTGAGGATGTAGAAATAAAAAAAGACTCAAATTTTTCAGAGTTAACACTAGAAAAAGTACATAATACTGTGCCTCGACGCATAGAAATCTTAAGTACTCGCCCTGTCAATGTTGCAATAATACAAAAGTTTAAAAACTTGAGAGAGAATAATAAATTTCAGAAAGAACTTACACCATCACCAGCGGATAATATAAGTATTGAAAACAAAAAGAAAGAAACTGATGACATTCAGAAAACATTCATACCATCAGTAGTAAAAAGACAGAACTTTATAACCCAGAGAAATTTGGATTCATCACTAGTGGAAAGTTTCAAAACTATTCAACAGAAACAGCAGGATAACATAAAAAATCAAAAAGAGCCTAGTCCATCATTAGTAGAGGGATCAACAACTAATCAACAAAGGAACAGGAATAATACTGTAATTCAAAAAGAATGTACTCATTCATTGGTATGTGGTTTGAAGAGCATCCAACAAAGATGGTGTACTCAGAAGTCCAACCAATACATTGAGGAAGATGAATCCAGCTCAGAGTTTCCAAATCCTTGCTTAAACACAGTCACAGAATCAGTTATCAAGGAAGTAACGACTTTATTCAACTCTGTAGAGCCTTTTGATACACAACCACTTCCAGTAAAAGGATGGGTGAAGCATATTGTAAGCAAATTTCAGAACGAAAGTTAATTATAAATGTAATGATCTATACTTTCTTTACATTTTAATACGCATCTGTAATTTTGTACAGAAATGTATATCCTTGTTATAATTGTAGTAAATAAATAACAGTGAATGTGCCAAATCTCATGTCTTATATATATATATACACACACAAAATCAGTCTATAAATTAATTGTATTTAGTCCTCTTATATTAGGCCTCAGGGTCTTCATAAGCCACTAAGTGTATTCCTGTGGTTCTTATATAATTACAAAGTTGGACACTTGATTTGTAGGTTAACAAAGTCATTGTAAAATGGAAGTGCAAAAGCTCTAGCTATTTTCAGTAAACTAAATAATAATGTTTCGTGTTTTTCCTGTAGCAAGTTCTTTATATACAGGTTACATAAGACTAAGCTCATATCATCCTGCAGCAAAAGATCAAGCATGGGTTCAGACCATGCAGAACTTACTTATTCTACAGCACACTGCTTTTAATGGAAACTTGTTTTATCTTAAACGTATGTACATTAAAGCAGATTGTAGAAGATGTCTATCTTAATATGGGATGAAAATGCTTATTTTAATGCATGTTATCTTAGGTGTTTAACACAATGTGCAAAGAAATATCTTAATCTAATATCAAATAATATAATAATAATATAATATCTAATATCAAAATATCTTAATCTAATGCCAAAAAATGTTTTATCTTTAAATGAAAATATTGTTACATCTCTGTTCGTTTGTTAATTTTCCGTAAAATTTCTTTCTGAAGAAACTTCAGCAATACAAGTCCTTCCTTAAATAAAACTAGTTTATTCTTTCTCAATACAACTTTGAAATTCACTTAATTTCCACAGTCATGCTATAACTCTAACAAATGCTATAATTCACAATGAACGATTGATGTGCTTGACTCAATTGTCCGTCTCTGTCTGCAATTCAATTTCATTATGGCCATCACTTTTTGGCGGTCTTATATACAAGAATACTGCACATCTAGTAAACACTCGAGGCTTCACAAACGGACATGAATTTTCTAGAAGCTCATGACATGTTACTAGCGTCACATGACTTCTGCTGTCGTAACACTGCCTCTTCCTTATTATTGTTTGTCCCGAACAATAGCCACTTACATTAAACCAATAGATAAATAACAATATCTTAATTAAATGTACAGAGTTTACAAACACAAAATTAAAATTCAACAAAATTTTACGAGACGTATCTTCTTCCGTACTGGTTTCTGTTTCATGTGAGGTTCATCTGCTCCATCAGGAATTGTCCTATCATCGGTAATGG